AGCCTTCCCAGTGCAAATCCAAGTTGGCCCAGAGAGACCCTCTTGCAGGTTCCCCTCCACCGGGTCTACCTTCTCTTCTCTCAGTTATTACCTCCTTTGATCCACACTTCTGGCTCACACATCTCTTATCCACCACAGCATATTTTCTGAATGTCTCCTTTCCTCATATTCCTTCAGACTTTCCAGTTTTATTCTTCTTTTGCCTCCTTTCATCTCCCTAGATCCCTTTCACCATCCTCTACCTTCCTCCACAGAGGCGGCGTGACCTGGGGCAAAGAGAACAGGCTTCCCTGTCCCCAGCCCCATTTCCACCTCTGCCTAGCTATGTAATGTTGCTCACCTCACATCCTCACCAAGCCTCAGTTTCCCATCTGTAAATATTTCCTCCAGAGGTTTTGTTGAGGACCCCAAGAAAACTTCATTCCTGTTACTTTATTTTCATCGCTATGTGAACTGCCTTGGCAACTCTAAACAACTTTTGCAGCATTAAAATTGAACGTTTTAGCTGTGATTCATAAAATCAATAAAAAGCTACAAACTTCCTGTGTTTTCAACACCCCTGAGACTGTGGGAATTTAACTAGGAGACTTACGGGAAACTAAATGTTGACCTACTAGGAGTATGAATGTTTGTGAATAGTTTAGAAACATATTTCTTCTTGGAAAGAGAAACTAGGTGATGGTATTTTCTTCTTAGGCTCAAGTGTTAGATACCAAGAGCCTGTAATAAGTCATTCCATAAATAAATAAAATGTGAAATGCTCTAGGGCAGATGTTGGCAATTGTTTACTGTAAAGGACAAGTACTAACTATGTTAGGCATTGCAGACCATATGGACTGTCACAACTACTCAGCTCTGCTCTTGCAGCACAATAATACACAAGCAAATCAACATAACTATGTTCCAATAAAACTTTATATGAACAACAGGCAAGTTACATTTGGCCCACAGACTATAGTTTTCTAACCATTGCTCTAAGAGATGAATGGAGATTACAGTGATCATTAATGACTCAGAAAATCAGAAATTATGATTGGCAGGTTTCAGGTGACTTCATGATGATTCTGGAATTATTCAGGATTTTTGGTTACTAGTGAATAACGTCACTTTTTTTGTTGTTTTTGTTTTTGTTTTTGGCTCGTACAAGTCCTCCTAAAGGAAAAATCAGTCAGATCAAGGTTTTTTAAATCTGGGATAAACTGGTCTTTGAAATAGATTTGGGCTTCTCTAGGTTTGTTGACAGTTGGTAAACCCACCCTAATTTCCCACAGATGGAGCAGAGAAGGATCCGTTAGAGGAATCAGAAACCCCAGGATAATAGGGAAGTAACAGTAACTGCCACTTATTGAGCTATCCTCCCTATCACAAACTATGACCACCACGATCTCCATTTTACAGACTGTGAGAAGTTTTAGTTGAAGGGATGAGTGCTTTGCCTGAGATCACACAGAAGTATTAGAGTCCGATGAATTGCTTTCCCCTTGGCCGCAATATCTCAATTAACACAAATAACCTACTTTCCCTGGGACATCTACCTTTCTTCAGATTCAAAACCAGAGAGAGGGAAAAAAAGTCACCCCTTTCTTCCATCTGCCTTTACTTTCTAGTAAGTTATACTTAAAAAAACAATCAGCCAGGTGAAGTGGCTCACACCTGTAATCCTAGCACTTTGGGAGCCCAAAGCAGGTGGATCACCTGAGGTCAGGAGTTAGAGACCAGCCTGCCCAACATGGCGAAACCCCGTCTCTATGAAAAATACAAAAAAAATTAGCTGGGCTTAGAGGCAGGCCCTGCAATCCCAGATACTTGGGCAGCTGAGGCAGGAGAATAATTTAAACCTGGGAGGCGGAGGTTGCAGTGAGCTGAGATTGCTCCACTGCACTCCTGCCTGGGTGACAAGAGTGAAACTCCATCTCAAAAAAAAAAAAAAAAAAACAGTGCTCCCTTAGCCAGCCCCTACTGTGTGCTAAGCATAAAGCTTTCATTACATAATAAAAGCTATTGTCTTTTTATTTCCCAAACTAAAATGCAAAGTCATGAAAATGGAAGCTAAGACAATTAGATGATTTGCCTGAAGTTGTACCAGTAGTTAATTGTGAAGTCAGAATTTGACATAGTTCTCATCAACTGCAAAGCATTTTCAGCTCGTACAGCTGCCATAGAGCTTAGTGTTAAAAACTGTGACTCTTGAGCCAGATGGTCTGTGTTCAAATTTTAACTCCACTATTTGCTAGTTACATCACCCTGGGTACATTGTTTAATGACTCTGTGTCTTAGTTTCCTGATTTGTCAAATTAGGATGATAATGGTTTGCTTCTCATTGTTTGTTATAGGGAATAAAGGGATAATAAGAATATGGTAAACCTCCGGCTTTAGATTTTTTTGTGTGTGTGGAATGTAAGCTCTATGGTACAGAAGTTATTGTCCATTTTATTCACTGTTGTATCCCTAGCACTTAGGATAATGTCTAGCACATATTAGGCAATATCAATATAAATAAAAAATGTCCAAAGTAGTCTTTAAATTAGGTTATGACTGGGCTCAAAGTCAGCATGAAAAAGCATAGCTTTCCTTTCGCTTTACTGCTTTTGTTTAACTTGGATTTGATATGTGAAACTTAATATGAGTCTTTGAAGTCTTAATTTAAAGTATAATAGGGTACGCTAGTGATCGTCTTCATTCTTTCAATGTTCCCAACAAAAGTAGAAGTTAGGACAAAAGTGAAGCTTTTAAAACAAAAGTGGAAACTAGCACAGAGTTGAAGCTGAGGTTGAGCCCATGGCAGGTACAGAGTGCTTTCAGATGTACTCCTCTGGTTCTTTGCTATTCCCCAAAGTGCATCCTTACATAATTAGCTTTAAAATTCCTTTCATCCCTTGTTTTTTTCTTAAAAAAATCTGTCACTAACACGTAGATTTTTATCTCTGTAAGTTTATTTTTACTAAACTTGCATGTTTTTTAAATACTGTGTATTCTAAATCTAAATCAGTAGTTAGTGGCAACAGCTGCTGGGAACCACTGTAATAAATGGATTATGGGTTCCATTTACCTGGCAAGATTGCCTTTGATGTCTGCACGTCAGCAGTGAAAGGGGTTCCAGAGAACAACAAAGCCTCTGGGGGAAAGGGCAAGCTCATCCCGAGACGGAGTATGCACAAAGAGGGAGCAGAAACAGGAGGTGGGTGTAGTTTCCTCTGGAACAAACATGCTTCTGTGGGAGGGTTTATGAAGGGGTTCCTGAGCGGCTGAGTCCCATGTGTCTGCAAGAGCATCACTTAGATGCTGTGGCACCTAGGCAGAAAACAATGTTTAAATCTGTGCCGGATTTATGATGAGTATACACCAGATTTATGATGAGTATATGTGATATTTATTCTGAGTGGTATAACTGATACCCCAATAGTGTGTTGAAGTTCTAATCTTTCTCAGTGGTTTGCACTATGTAAATTATTATTTTCATTAAGATTAAGCATCCTCACAGAATTACATAGCAGTAACTTATGTAACCACCTCCTTAGAATGTCAATATGCCTACCAAAGACTCTGTTAAAGATCTTTGAAATTAGTAATTAGGGAGGCTAAAAATGAAGCATTAATGTGGAATCCTCTACATGCTTTGTAGGAAGCAACTGAAGTAGGTAAGTTTTTTGCTCTTGAAGATTCTTCTGCTTGCAATAAAAATAATTTGCAGATTTGCCTGGTTTGTATGTTTCTTCAAGTCAAGAATAATTCATCTGTTACATTTTGGAAAAGTTTGTAAATAAATGATTTGTTTCAGTTTAAAATATCTCTAAGTTTGATTATATATCAAATTATATTTGTGATATATAATCAAACTTAGAGCTATTTTTAATTTATATATAATATATAATTTCATATATCCTATATATGAAATTATTAAGAAAATGGTCTATAAACTTCATTATCCTGTAAACTAAACTGTAAACTTTTACTCAGTGAGCCAGGGAGTTAAAGAATGCCATGAGGTTGAATTTCTGCACCTAGTTCCAGAACCCAATGGTAAAACTTAGTTTTGAGTTTATGACTACGAAATAGGAATTTGGCCCAAATGACAACAATAAAGAAAAATAAGATTAACCTTGAGACAGCGTATATATAAGGAGCATGAAAATATGGTAAAATGCCCTGATGTTTAAACTTCTATTAAAATAACAGCTAAAAACATCCAAGTATGTTATGCATGAGAAACTATGTGCAAAGCATCTTACATATGTTATTTTATTCTCTTTTTCTATGAGATAAGTAGTAGTAGTATTCTCATTTACTGATGAAGAAAAATGGAAGGAAATAAGGATTTGTAAAGGTCAAATCATTTGCCAAAGGTGGCCAGGGTTAGAAGTCGTGGAGTCAAGTTTCAAACCCAGATCCTTTGCCAATGGAACCTCAACGCTTAACCATTGTCCATGACAAAAGCCTAAATCACTAATGAGATTGGCACCAAACACATTGTTAGGTTGAATAAGGAAATGGTTACATAAGGCAACCTATAAGTATAATCATATTCTAGGTAATAACATAAAAAATAAAGAAATTATATTCAGAATAAATAAAAACCGTTTGTGTTATGGCCCTAAAAATAGGGTTGGGTAACTAATGTTATATCCACTTGATATAACAAATCTAACTTTTTAGAAGGCTGAAATTCAGGGAATAACCTTATGGTGCCCTATAAGCTTTGTTTTTACATTGAAATTTGTGTTTTTACATCTTATTTGAATTCATTGTCTAACCAACAACGTTATCCAGAAATTTTTTTTATTTGGAGTTTTTTGTAGACATGACAAATTCAAGGCTCACAGAAGTTAAGAAAATCAACTACTATGATGCAGCTAATTGGTAGTAGAAATATACTTCAAACCTAAGTTTGATGATTTCAAATCTAATGATTACTCCTGTCCCTTCAGCTATAAGATAACAGAGTGAGAACAAAGTGGCTTGCGAAATCAATCTAACCCAGGATTTCTTCTCTCTTCTCATAGGTCGCTACCCGCAGGAGAACAAGGGAACCTACATCCCAGTGCCTATAGTCCCAGAGTTACAAAGTGGAAAGTGGGGGGCCAAGGTTGTCATGAGAGAGGACAATTCTGTGCGGCTGTCTGTCCAGTCTTCCCCCGAATGTATCGTGGGGAAATTCCGCATGTATGTTGCTGTCTGGACCCCCTATGGCATACTTCGAACCCGTCGAAACCCAGAAACAGACACGTACATTCTCTTCAATCCTTGGTGTGAAGGTAAGAGGCAGGCATTTAGTTTTCTCATTTAAAAGTTTACCTATTTGGCAGGGTAACATGGCACATGCTTATAATACCAGATCTTTGGGAGGCCAAGATGAGAGGATCACTTAAGGCCAGGAGTTCGATACCTAGTCTCTAAGCAATAAAAATTAAAAATGAGTTGGGTGTGGTGGTGCCCACCTGTACTCCCAGCTACCTGGAAGGCTAAAGTGGGAGGATTGCTTGAGTTCAGGAGTTAGAGATTACAGCGAGCAATGATCATGCCACTGCACTCCAGCCTGGGCAACAGAGTAAGACTCTGTCTCCGAAAAAATTCATGTATTTCCAATACATCTATTTTTGGGGGGCTGGCAATATTATTCTAAAGACATGTACCTCTCCTGCATATACTATTTTAATGATTGAATGAGCAAGATAGAAAATTCATCCTCAGTGCATATGGGGATAAAACCTCTATACATGAAGTCAATTAATTGAAGATTATATAAAATTGCAGTTATTTGTGGAACTATTTAACTGCATTTTTTGTAATTAAAAGTAATTGCAAAAACCACAATTACTTTTGCACCAACCTAATATATGTTGACAATATAACTTTTGGATGCTTTTGTTCTATAAACAGACTGGGCTTATTAAACTTGACTATGAAAATTATTAGAGTCTATAACTCTGACTTCATAAAAATAAAATAAAGTCAACACCGTTCATAGTGAAACTAACTTCTCTATCCCCCTGCTTTAAGAACAGAAAGTCTGTACATCTAAAGGATTCCACAAACTTGTTTGTGTGCATAGTGGGTGCAAATTTTGCAAACCAGAACTCGGGATGTGCAAAGATGTAACTGTACTTTAACACAATACAACTTGATCTCTAGTGCTATTTTCAGTCTTTCTGTCTGCGGCAGAAGCTTAATCTAGTTATATTCAAATAAACTCAGTCAAGTTCAATGATTTCTCCATCAGTTCTCTTTTGGGCCTCAGTCACACACCGAATTTTCTTCTCATCTTCGTCTCTGCTCTTCCCTACCTCTCCCCTGCTCCCATACTTGGTATAGGGCTGTTTTAAATTCCAGAGGCAGATGCTGATGCTGCAGCAGCATCGATGTGGGAGAGACCACTTGTAGGTCCTAGGAAATAAGGCAGTGGAAGCTATGAAAGCTCAGATGGGGGCAGGAGACCTCCCATGACATCCTACCCCAGTGCATTGCTCTCTAACATGTTCCAAAATGAGCCTACATTATTGCTGATTTTGAATAACCCTTGTATGTGAAAGTTACATTTGAATCGGGGTTAATCTGTCCTAGGTATAGAAAAGTGGACAACAATATTTGCTACTTATCTAGAACATACATCTTGGTCCTACTGACCTTTTCTTTGATTAATATTTATATTTATTTACTTTTTGCAGAGACGTGGTCTCACTATGTTGCCCAGGTTGGTCTTAAACTCCTGGGCTCAAGCAGTGCTCCTGCCTCAGCCTCCCTAAAATGTTAGGATTACAGTCATGAACCACCATGCCCAGTGTGGCTTGGAAATTACCTGTTCTACTAGTGTTGTCAAATGACACCAAGCTATTCCTACACTCCCTATATATCCATCCTCATCATCTTGTACCCAGCACTCCTATCTATGAGTCAGATATTCAAGGTAAATGGTAACAGGAAATGTTAACTGGGCATATTCAGTTCAAAAATGAACTCCTGTTGGTAGTAATCTTATCAACCAGATATAAGGCATTTGCAACTGGTTGATGAGGTGACATTATAAAAATGAAAAAGACTGAGAGAATCAGAGTTACTGATACACAAATCAAGATTTTGAGTATGTTAAGTTGGAGATAACCATAGACAGACAAGCAGAAATGACAAGTCTGAAGAGGAAAATCAGAGGTATATATTTGGGAGTTGTCTGCACCTAGAGAGAAAATATAGATAGAGAAAGAAGTGAAATATAGTATCCACCCTTCAGGAACACCATCATTTAGGAGTCCAGTAGAGAAGAATTAAGCAAAAGAGAATGAGATGGAGAGTATGTAGGAAGCAGCCTATTCTGAGAAAATTGCATTAAAAAATCTATACTTATATATTAATCAGGAGTTTGTTATTTACTTTCTTTCTATTAGAAAAAGAAAATCATGGACTTCATATAACTGTTCAGAAATCTAGAAAATTTCCAGAATGCTGTAATTTACCCAGACCTTGGTTTGTTTGCAGCTTTTCTGGTTGTATAATGTGTGTAAAATGGGATACGTGTCTGCATGCATTTCAACTTATGTGGCCACTCTTCTCGAGGGGAAAAGGGTTAGTCACGTTGCCTGAAATGTTAACTTTAAAGATTAACTATTCAGGAGGAGAACAATATAGTAACCTTATTGCTGCCTTGATTTTCAGTTGTATCCATGACGAGCAGCTTCCAGATACCTCTGTTCCAAAACAGTGGCTTAGGTCTAGAGGTGTTTTTGTCCTAGAGTCTATAAAGGGACCTCCACTAGGTTTTCAGTGCATAGAAAGGATTAGAGAAAGGTGGGAAAAAACTAGAGACCAATTTGGAAGCTGTGGTCTAGGAGAAAAATGATGATAGACTAAACTATGGTGGTACCAGTGGAGATGAGAAGATCAGAGATCTGTTTTGTCTTTAGAACAGGGATCGAAGATGAGAAGTAAAGAAATGGGAGGGCTCAAGAATAATTCCAGATTTCTTGTTTGGCTAATTGGGCTGATGGTGGTGTCATTTTCAGAGCTGGGAAGACTGTGAGAAGTGGAGGGGAAGCACTAGGGGTGAAGCTAAGAGTTACATTCAGAAGTGTTAATTTGGTGATGTCTATGAGACATCCAAGTGAAAATGTCAAGTAAGCACCTGAATAAAGTGAATCTAGAACTCAAAGGAGATGGCTGAGCTAGACACGTAAACATGGGCACGGTTAGGAGCAATAATGAACAAAAATGATTCAGGGTCATTAATAAGTAAGAGTCAAGACAAAGGAGAAGTCAGCAAAGGAGACTGAGCAGGAGCAGTCAGTGGGGCCCAAGAAGATCAAAAGAGCCTAGAGCTGGATACATGGACAGATTCAAGACAGCAGTTAACGCCGTTGAATGCTATGATTAGCAGAATAGGATAAGGAAAGTAGCCATATAGTGTGGAGATTGGATGTCTTCAGTGCTCTTGAAAAGGACTGTTTTGCTAAAGTAGTGGGGACAGAGGCCAGGGAGATGGTCATAGGCTGCGCTGTAAACAGGAGGCGAGACCACAGGAAATGGCACCTTTCTCAAGACTTTCTGCAGCACCTAGATGTTGATGTGAAGGTCAAAGCAGAATTTTTTTAAAGACAAGAGATAGTGAGTGTTATTTTATGGTGATGGAGAGGAAGCGGGAAGGCAGGAAGGAGAGTTTGCAGTCCAAAGAGAGGACAGTGGTTCACAGCCCTGGATGCACATTGCGATCATCTGGGGAGTGTCATTGCTCTGGAGTGCAGCCTGGGCTTCAGGGTTTTTAAAAGCTCTGCAGGCGATTCTGGGAACCAAGTTGGAGAAGTTTAAGGATTGAAATCTTTGAGTGGTTGGAATCCAGGGAACAAGTGAAGGGCCTGTGATGGGGAAGGCTATTCACCCTCCCCAAAGACAGGAGGAGTACACTAGAAGAGGGGTGCAGATTTTCTAGTTTAATGGAAGGAGAATAGGTTGTTACCATTTTGAGACTCCTTTTTTTTTTTTTGTCGGTGAAGCATAAGGCAAAGTCATGTGTTGAGAAGCATCAGCAAAGAAGGCATGAGAGGCTTGATAGGGAAGATGTGAGCTAGTCATCTGGAATGTGGAAGGTGAGCTTATTACAAATACATGCCGGGAGGATCTTCCCTGCTTCCAGAACATGGGGCAAACTAGCACAGTTCTCCCCATTCCTTGGCCTGTGGAGGCCCAGACATCTCTGCAAATTCCTTAGGGATTTCTGACCTCATGGCTGCCTCTGCCTCTAGGAATCCTACTTCCCCTTGTACTGCTGCAAGTGAGAAACTCGACCTTCACCTTCAATTTCAATGTTGGCAATAACAGCAAAAACAGTCACACACATCTGTGAATGTCCAGACCTTAACTGCAGCTTAGGATGGAGGGTGAGAAGAGGAAGGATGCTCTCTGTGATTACCAAGCTTAGAGCACATCAGAATCACCTGGAGGGCTTGTTCAGACATTTCTGTGCAGTGCCCTCAGGTTGAGTAGGTCTGAGGTCTGGCCTGAGAATTTGCATTTCTAACCAGTTCCTGGGAGATGCTCTTGATGCTGGTTGGGGTCAGCACTTAGTGAACCACTGGTTTCCTAATAATCACAAAACAATAAAGCTGGGCATGGCCCCTAGAGTAGCCTGCAGTCCTAGCTACTTGGGAACCTGAGGCAGGAGGATTGTTTGAGCCCAGGAGTTCAAAGCAGCCCAGCCAGCCTGTCTCTAACAAGAAAGAAAAACAATAAGCAATACTTTTAAAACTCAGGAGAGTATAATTTACTCTTCTTCAAATTTCAGTGGCTCTATCCTGAAGCGAATTCCAGTCTTTCTCCTCCTTACCACCCCTTTTCTCTCTCTACTACTGTTCTCCTTTATTCTCCAAACTCTTCTCTCCCATTCTGTCTCAGGAGCAAATTCTCCTTCCTTAATGCAGAGGGATCCTGTGCACTATTTTGTTCCTTGACCTTCTCCAACGACCATGCTTTTGGGCACTGCACACATTTTTTTTAATGAAGCGAGAAAAAGAGGTCATCTCGTGGTTTCCCCAGTCTAGCACTCAAAGCGCAATCCGAGAAGGGAACAAGATGATGAACCCCCTACACATAAGCAGTACACTGTGGCCCAGCAATCACCTGCAGTGTCATGCTTGTGTGTGTTAATGCATAACAAAGGACTCAGTGGTATAGCCTGGTAATTGGAAAGTAGGTCAAAAGAGAGAGGTGAGACTGTTGCCCGTGTGAAAAAGATAGCAGAAGACAAGAAAGAAAACTACTTCCAGAAATTGTC